GAGTTGCGATTTTCATGGAGAGTTGCAGAGGAATGCCCTTTCTATCGGTGTATTTCCAAGAGGTGGAAATTCCTGAATTACACATTATTAATTGCCAGTATATTGATTATGATTCGATCTATCGTGAGACTAGTAGAATTTGCACAAGGATTTGATGGATTTATAATATCGCATGAGTATTTTATATATGCATTTGATGCTGTTCCCATGCTTTTGGTGATTATTGTTTTCAGCATAGGTTCATATTTTGGAGGCTTGTTTATGACCATTGCAGAATGCCAGTCAATTAAAAGCGGACCTTAAATTGTATGCCAAGGTATCTTCAGTAATTGATTCACATAAGGTGATGCCGCGGTTATGTTCTGCACACTCTAGTGGTCGAAAGATACTTATGGAACCGAAACAGTATGGCTTCAGTTATAATAGAACCGGTACTCTCATATAGGTGACATTTGTTGATTAGAGACGTTTCAGATAAAGAAATTTGAAATAGACTGAGAAATTTCTAAGACAAAGATCTTTTACAAACATAAAACTCGTCCTTTCCCGACGTTGTTTCAGAATAAACACTAAACAATCGTTGCACGTAAATAACCTAGATTTTGGCGGAAATTTCGCCCAGATAGGAACACGAAATATCAAAGACTTCAAAGATTTAAAATAAAAAAAGCTATCGTATTTGGCAGATCAACTTGTGCAGGAGGAATAAATTGCTAAATCACCAATCGCTCCATAGAAATACAATCAAACTTGAGATAGTAAAAACCCACTTAACATACTTCATGCTACTGTCAGCCTATCTGCATCCCCCATTGCGTATTATCTATGAGTGGATTTCTGGGATTTTGTCGAGAATTGCTCACATTGAAAAAAAACATTGCTCCATAATTATCGTAAAATTGAGTCTTGCCATGACACAAATTACTTACGGCATCGCCATATCTTTTGATTGAATAAATTATGCTGCTTTAGTCACCAGTTTCCAGAGTGAACTGAACATGACATTAAATATCGCGTGGCAGTAAATTTCTTTAAAGAATCATGATATGTACCAGAAAATAAGACAAGACACGGTGGTAACGGTGTCGTATGAATTTAAAGTCACTTCAGTATTACGGGCAACGCATCGATAGTGATCAAGGATGTGTAAAACTACTATCAAGGCTAACTCAAAATATTATAAAAAATTCTCTCTTAAAAGGAATTTACAGTCAGTGATAAGTCGGGTTTAGCTCCATTGTCAGAAATTTGAAAACATATGGCGTCTGTGTCGTGCCCAATTTTATGGAGAAAGCCATCTGTGAAGAACCTTTGAAGAAAACTCAGCAGAAGCTTTATTGATATGATTCGTAGAGGTAATCTCCATTTCCTGAATAGACAACAGTAGTTTAGAGGTCAGTGTTACACTCATCAACAGCATTGGGAAAGATCGTATCGGATCCCTTGTTTGGTAGCATTGTAGAAAAACTCTTAAACGAGTATAAGTACTTCATGGCCCGAAAAGGTTTGAAAGAGTATACTTGAGGTTTTCAATTGAACTCTGGAATCGTACAAAGTTGGGCCTGACGCAGACGTCCAGTGATTCTCATCACGTGTCTCTTTATTTCGAAATCATGGTTGAATCACGTGATTTATCTTCGAACCAAAAGTGCTACTACTTTTCTGATTTCTTCAAGCTCCCTTATGGAATTCTCCGTTCAGAGAACAACGAAAATTGCGCTGTTATTTCTGCTACAGCTGGTTGCCGCGCAATGGAAATCCGAGGTTACCAAGCAAAAATCTGGCATGTCATATAGGCTTCAGCCTTTCGACGACAGCCCCGTAATTTTGCGGGAGGACAACTCGAAACTATCCCGTTCCTCAGATAACAGCAAGACTTGGGAACTCGTCGACTCGATCAAGGGGAATACCTCGTTCTTCAAAGTGGATAAGAACTACCCAGGCAAGCGTGTGTTTGCCTATGCAGTGAAATCAGGTACCATATACGCTACAGATGACCAGGAAGAAACTTGGAGCGAGATCAGCCTTCCCTGAGGCGATGATTTTCTAGAAGATAAAGGGTATAGCTACTGCACCGTGAAAACTCACCCTCACTTTGAAGGCGACATCATCGTCTCATGTAGTTTTTGCAAAGAGAATGCTCACTCGTGCAATTAAAAGGTTTTTTTTGTCGAAGAACGGCAAAGACTTCAACAATTTGGACCTGCCCAAACCTGAAAAGACTTCCAAAAATGATTACTCGTCTGTTGACTGTGGATTTTTCCGAGAGTATAAGGAATCAGGACTGGGTGGCGACCATGAGGTCGTATGCATCTCAAGAACCTTGTCCATTGGGCATGGGTCGAACTTCTTGAAGGCTTCCTCCGTTATTACAACAAATGATCACGGCAAAACAACTTCAACTGTGCGCAACTTCGAAGGCATGACACTCACAGATCTCAAAATAATAGGTGATTACTGCGTGATAACCACCATGGAGGACAGGTTCAACTCTGAATCTTTGAGGCGCGTTTGGGTCTCCCACGATGATAAAAATTTTGACGAGGCCTACTTTCCATCACAATTGCGTTCAGGTTTGAGCATCCGATCCTTAGGAGGATCCAAGAAGAAGCTTGCAGCATCTGTGCGCCAACTACACAAAGGCACCTTTGGTGGTGAGGAGCTCCTTTTATCTGACTCCACTGGCTTGAAGTTCACCCCAATGTCGTCGCTATTCTCGGATGATTCGGGCTCTTACTTTTTGAAATCGGTAGATGAACTGGAGGGCACTGTTTTGAGTACTTTTAACGCATTTGTGAGTGATAAACCCTTTTCTAGAACCGTTTTGAAAACCAGAATATCCTTCGATGATGGTCAGTCCTGGTCGTATTTTAAAAGTTGATGATCCAAACAACGAATATTCTTGTGATGTCAGCGATCCAGCGACATGCTCTATAAGAACATGTTAGTTCAACTTTGCCAGTTCAAGTCAAATTGTGGGCTCTCCAACAACTGCCGGTATTCTTGCACTAACAGGTGTTGTGGGGGGCCAGTATGACTACATGGGACAATCAGCAAACGTTCATATCTCGAGATAGAGGTGCAACCTGGAGGAAAATCCTAGACTTTTCAGTTACAGTGGCTTTTGGAGACCTGGGTAATATTATAGTCGCAGCTCCTTATTATTCGAATTCCGACGGCGATTCTGCCGGTGAGTTTTATTATTCACTCGACCAAGGTGAAACTTGGACAGAATATGAATTCGATGAAGAAATGTATATCCATGAGGTCACACCCACTTCTCTGGATGGATCTGGCTTGACTTTCATAATATCTGGCACTCAGGTCAGCGATATCGTAAACTAGGAAGACCGCGAGGGAATTCTTTACACCATTGATTCCAGCTCGGCATTTGAAAGCAAAAAGTGCTCAAACGACGAGATGGAAGACTGGTATTTGAATGATGGCAAATGCCTGAAAGGTGCAGAGCGTAAGTTCAGAAGAAGAAAGTAAGACGCAAAGTGCCTCGTTCGGGAGCTTTACGAGAATGCCAAAATAATCAAGGAAACATGTCCCTGTGATGAAGAAGACTATGAATGTGCACCTGAGTTTGTACCAAATGGATATGGAAATTGTTTACTTGATCACACTTTACTATCGCGTTCAGGCGCTTGTACCACACGTAATTCCCATGTCAAATTGGCCCCTAAACAACTCGAGAGCGGAAATTTATGCAACAAACCACTTAAAATTAATGACCTCGATGTAAAATGCACGAGTAACGAAGATGAGGGAGCAATTGATAATGTTTCGGTTGTCGAAAACGAACTAGATTTTAAAATGACATTCTACCAGTACTTTGACACTATTGGTGATGAAACTGCGATTGCCCTTTCCGACAAACACGACGTTTACTTCTCACATGACAACGGTCAAAACTTCCGCCAGCTCAGAATTGATGATACCATTATAGAAGTGATGTTCAATCCGTATTTCAATTCATCCGCATATCTGTTTGGGAAGAGTCGTAAGCTTTACATTACAAACGATAGAGCGAGATCGTTTTCATCTGTTGAATTACCCCACGCAAAACAACTGGGGTTCCCACTTTCGTTTCACGCTAAGGATTCTGAAACATTCATTTTCTATGGTGGCCAAGGTTGCAAAAGTTTGGATGATGATGCTTTTCATGCGGTAGCGTTCGTCACACGGGGATGGTGGTAGTAATTTCGAAGAACTCGCACAGGGAGCGTACTCTTGCGAGTTTGTTGGCTCGACCTATGAGCATCCTTCTGACGACAACATGATTATGTGTGCGATTAAGGATAAAGAGACTAACAAGAGATCCTTGGTGACCAGTAACGATTTCCTCAAAATAATCGCAAAGTAGTATTCGATGAAATAGTTGGTTATGTTTCTACTGGTGAGTACACTATCATTGCGGTCCCTCATGATTCTGATGAGCTAAGAGCTTACGTAACAATTGATGGTGAAGAGTTTGCGGAAGCAGTCCTGCCAGCTGATCTGTCCATTAAACAACAAGCCTATACCATTCTTGGCTCCCAACAGGGTGCAATTTTCTTTCACTTGACAACTGAATCGTCCCCCGACAAAGAATTTGGGGCGTTGATGAAATCCAACTCTAACGGAACATCATTTGTGGTTTTGGAGAGAGCAGTCAATAAAGGACCTCGAGGCTATGTTGATTTTGAAAAACTTCAAGGCTTAGAAGGAATTGTATTGGTGAATGTTGTTTCAAATGCCGAGGGAATCAAAGATGGTTCAGAAGATAGCAAGAGATTAAAGTCAAAAATTACATTCAATGAAGGAGCCGATTGGCAATACATATATCCTCCTCCAAAAAATTCTGAAGGGAAGGCCTATGCTTGTAAATCAAAATTATTAGAAGACTGTTCCCTAAATCTTCATGGATTCACCGAAAGGAAAGACATCAGGGACACGTATTCTTCAGGTTCAGTTCTAGGATATATGATCGGTGTCGGAAATGTTGGCGAATATCTTCTGCCATATGAAGATTGTTCCACTTTTATGAGCACAGATGGTGGAATTACATGGAAGGAAGTTAAAAATTCTCCATATCAATGGAAGTATGGTGATCATGGCAGTATCATCGTGCTAGTACCGGATAGCAAGCAAACTGACACCGTCACTTATTCAACGGATTCGGGTAAAACATGGAGGGACTTCAATTTCACTGAAAAGGAGTTGTTCGTGGACGATATTGTCACTGTTCCTCAGGATTCCGCGATGAGATTTATGATAGTTGCAACGTCACCAAATGTTAAAGGTCAAAAAACCAAGACTTTCACGCTAGATTTCTCGGGTTGCTTCAATAGACAATGTGTCCTCGATTTCGAAAACGAAAGGAATGACGATTACGATTATGCCCCAATTGCCAACCCAGGGTCCGAGTGTTTGTTTGGACACCAGGCGGAATACTTGAAGAAAATAAATTATGATTGTTACAATGGCGCCGCTCCACTCAAGGAAATGGTAAGAATTGTGAAAAACTGTTCCTGTACCAGAAATGATTTCGAGTGTGATTACAACGGCTGTAAGGCTAAAGACGGCACCTGTAAATTGGTCGAAGGTTTGGATCCATCTGAACCTAGTA